TCACAGCCAAGGTGTCATATGAAAGAAAAAGAGCACAAAAACTACTGACCTTCACAAGGGAATCCTGGTAGCTATCACTCAGAAGTTCCTTGCACATCTTCAGCAAGGTAATTGCAACCCATTAAAATTGTGACTCATTTGCAAGGTTAAGATTGCTCATTAAGATGAGTTAAAGCACATTGGCTGGTAGCTGATATATATATATATTGTAGTTGTTTAACTTTTTTAAACTGCCAGGGGCAAAGTGTCACCTCCAAAACTTCTGAGTCACATTTGAAGAAGCTTTCTAGTAGCAACCCAGCCATTGGAAAGAACAGCCGCCCCTTACTTCGAGAGAGATGAAAAGGTTCTTTGATGAAGTTCAGGGAATTGGCTCAAGAAGAAGGAAGGAAGGAACCCCTTTGGGCTTTCAAAACAGCAACAGAAAACCTGAGAAAGTAAAGGAGGCCTCATATGCACCTTAGGCTGGATCTACACTAGTAATAATAATAATAATAATAATAATAATAATAATAATAATAATAATAATAAAAATCCATACCCACCATTATTTTGGTGCTGTTGGAATACACAACATATTGTCATTTTCACAGTGAAAGTACTTTGTTTAGGCTGCAATGCAATGTAGAAAAACTCACTTTTTACTCTGCCGTTTCTGGGTAAAAAAGGCTTTTTCTGGGTTTTTTGCAACATGTGTCTTGCCAGATCAGTGTGGCATCAGGATGTGTGTGGGGGTAGTTGGGGGACAGGACAGACTAGTGAGCTCCATTCAGTAAGTATTTCAACATTTTTTTCTCTTTCATGGTGGATCCGCGTGCATGTCTGTGCATGCTTTAACAAAACAAGCCAAGAAAGCAAAGAAAATCTACTCAAGATATATTTCAGCAGGCACACAACTAACATGGGTCCCTCCTATGTGCACCTTAGTGTTGTTGACAGCTACATCATAACCTGCTAAAGGGCTGATGTGGCCAAGCTGCTCCAATGTCACAGCAGGAGGAGGCAGAATGGTCCTTGGTTGCTACAGGTTGACCTGCTCCAATATCATAATTAGATCCATTGTATTGACTTCTCGCTAAGATGGCAGCAGACTCCAGTTTAAAATGCGATGTGTAGTGGGAACAGATTTCTGCTTGCATGGAGGAAACTCTTACTTAGCTAATTGGCAAGGCACAGGGCACTCCAGCAATCCCTGGCATCTCCAGGTCAAACAGATCAGGTAGAGAGTGATAGGAAAGAGTTTTATTTGAATGGAGCTCCTGAGAACTGCTCCCAGTCAAGATAGAAAAGAATAGACCAGTGATGGCGAACCTTTTAGGGGTTGAGTTCTTTTAGTTCAGGCACTCAACCCCTAAAAGTTTTGCCATCACTGATATAGGTTAACCTTCCAAGAGAAGGCTAGTAGAAAGTCAAACTAGGAGATGAGAATGAAGGTGGATGGATATGAAGCCAGGAGGTGCACAGAAGGAAACCAGGTGTGTGTGTATCTGTGTGAGTTGTGGTAGATAGTAAACTTGAATTACTCCACAGCCACTGTGAAGACTAAATACAAATATTTGAGCAAAGCAAATGAGGTTTTTGCACCAAGCAAAGTTTTTGGAATTCTAGGCATCCAGAAGAAACGACAAGTCCAAACCACTACAGAAGAGTGACTATTACAGAAGAGGCATCCACAGTAGTCTAGAGGTGCAAGGGACAAGAAATGGGAAATGTGGAAACAGGAGAGGCAGATGCCAACAGCAAGATTCAAAATACCTGACAGATCCCAGGATCCCATAAGGGGGAGCCTTGGCACTTAAAGTGGTAGTTAATGTGGCATCAAAGCAGATGACTGTGTAGTGTGGAAAAGATCTAAGATTGGTGGGTCTGTGAGTTGGTTAAAAGCCATGCAAACAAAGCAGGCAAGATCAGCTTATTTTTGCACAATGTTTTGCATTTTTCCTAGTCATTGTGACTGGCAAGGGAAGTCTGACCTGCTGGCTACAGCGTCCCCCTGCTGCCCCATTAGCAGATGTTACAGATTGCAATAGCTCCTGCCTGTTGAATACTGAATATCGAAAGTGCTAGAAACATGTGTATAATGTTTTTTTTTTTAGCACAGCCAATATCATTTCAGGAGGTTAAATGCTACAGATGGGATCGCATTCCATGCTTCAAGAAGGCAACTGAATCCAGTGGTAACTCAACCCAGCTTTGCTCTGAGTGGCTTTCTCCAAAGAATGGTCTTACAAAATCAATGTTGGAATGATAACGCCAGAGTCTTAATTACAAAGATAAGCCCTAAACTGTGCTCTGTGCTAAGAAAAAGAACAAATGATGGAACAATCTGGAGTGGGAGGGTTTGGCTTCCCTTTCTTGCTAGCAGCTGCTCTCAAAAAAATCATTGCATAATCTGACCCTGATCCAAGTTCTCTCCCTCAATATGGCATGCTATGCTTTTCCTGCCGTCCTCCTCAGTCTCTCTCCCTTCTCTCCAACTTGCTTCATCAGCTAACGTTTTGTGGCTGGCCTCTACAGAGACAAGACCTAGGCAATCTTGAACAATTGAGACTAGTGCCAGGAAACTAGATTTAGTTTTTTAAATGATTTGTGGATTGGGAGCAGGGACAGATGGGTGACGGGAGAAGAGAGAAACCAAGAAACTTGATTAAATCAGACTGGAATAGGGGAGCTGGGAGAGAAAATAGGAATTATTAAAGCTGTTTGTTGAAAGTGCAGTTGGCTGTCAGTACATATTATGAAACATGGCACATTAACAGAAGCCTAGCCACAAGGACACCACCAGCACACAAAAGATGGTTACGAGCCAAATGGACATGCCTCGGTCCCTAAAAGCTTGTCCAACATCACGAGGCATCAGCCACAATGGAAGACCTTTGTTCTGTTCTAGATGCCTCAGCTCTTGACAATACTAGATGTTCTAGATGTCTCAACACTTGCCCTAAGAAATGCCTACTGTAATCAGGCCAAGATGCACTTTTGTCCAGTCCTCTTATTTCCAGCAGTGGTCAGTACCTTATATGACTGCTCAATGCTTATACACAGACCAAGTTTCGCAACCTGGTACCCTCCAGATGTTTCCTAACCTGGTGACCTCCAGATCTGTTTCACCACATCTCTCAAAATCCAGGTTGGAAAACAAAGCCCCTGTTCTCATAGCCAGATGTCATTGGTAGAAGCTGGCTTCTCATAATTCATCGTATGCTTATGATCAGAAGTGTTCACATCATTCTAGTAACCAAGAACAAACTCACTCTGGTTCATAGGTAATACAGGTCAGACTATCAGGTCATCAAGCCCAGTTCTGTCTACTCCGACTAGCAGTGGTTCACTAACACCCTGAGCAGGGATCTTCTCCATCACCACAACTGGAACCTTTAGAATTGGAACTCCTGCAACTGAACTTGGAAACTCCTGCAGGCAAAGATGATGTCCTACTACAAGTCCCAATGGCCTCAAGTTACAGGTCCTCATTTCAGATGGCAAGCTGTAGATAAATTAGCCATACCTATGTCTACTGAACAGCTAATCAGTTTAAAGGGAAATGATTGATTGTGTTCTATGGGTAGGTATGTGTGATGCTAGACCTGGTCCTCATCAAAGTAAATCAATGCTAATCCTATTTAGTTGTTATCACATCTGGCACATAAACCATCAGGAATGATTTCTGTGCATGCACACTTATTTCAACTTCAAATGCAATACTTTAGCTCATTCAGTTTGTCGAAACAAAAGACACAAAAGACTTCCTTTGTAAACCATCTGCAGCATGTTATTCAATGGGTGGAGAATACATGAAACAAAACAGTGGGCACAAATTCATAGCAGTTTTGCAAACATGCACACTACGGACAAGGAGACCGGGGTTTAGTGTCACAGATGCTGGAAACCTAACGTAGGAAGAGGCTTCAACAAATTTTGCCATAGCTTCCCTGCTAGGCGGTTGACCACTCTTTGCTTAAAAACTTCCAATGAAAGAGAGTCCATCACTTTTGGAGATCTCTTCCACTGTTGAAACACTTTAGATCTGGGAAACTTCTTCCTGATCTTAGCTCAATCCTTCTTTCTTTTAACTTGACCCCCATGGTTTGCTACCCATCCTCTAGAGTCAGCAAAAGAAACCCCCAAAAATGCATCATCTGCTATGTAACAGCACTTTAAACATTTGAATAGAGGCATCACTAGGGGTGTGCGGAAGGCACAGGGTCACAACAGGGAGGGATGTACACCCAGTGGTTCAGTCATTGCTCCAGAATAAACACACCCAAATTGTCCAACGGTTTTCCATAAGAGGGGGCTCATTTCCATTTGCCAGAATATTTGGGCTGCTGCTGGAGTATCCTGGGTCTGAATTCCTCCCTTACCTGTTGCAGGTTTCTGCAAAATGACAAGTAACCATCTTCCCTGGTCCCTGCGAGTCGCTCTGAGGTCGGAACATGACCTCAGAGCAAGTCGAATCTGCAGAGGAACTCAGCAGGGACATTCACAGGGACTGAATGTTGCTTTGGGTTTTCCAGAAAACAGAGCACAAAACGTAAGCCTTTTAAATGTAGGACAAGGGGTGGAAACCACAAATCGGGTCCCACTGTTGTGTAAACAGGTGTGAAGCTGGGCAGATGAATTGTAGGAGTGGTGGCTGAAAAACTGATAACCATTGCTCTCCCCAAGGTGGTCTTTACAGTCTAGATTTTAGCTCACCTTCATGCAATCTGCACTGCAGAAATAACAGTTTGACACTGCTTTAACTGCCATGGCTCAAGGATATGGAGTTCTGGGATTTGCAGTTTTCAGAGTTATTTAGCCTTCTCTGCTAGAAAGCTCTTGTGCCACGACAAACCGCAAATCCTAGGATTCTATAGCACTGAGCCATGGCAGTTAAAGAGGTGTCAAACTGCACTATTTCTGCAGTACAGATGCAACCCTTGATAGACCCCTCTAAAAACTGGTCTTTTGCTAGTATTCCCTTTAAATCAGTAATAAAACAAAACATTATATGGCGAGCCAGCGTGGTGTAGTGGTTTGAGTGTTGGACTATGACTCTGGAGACCAGGGTTCAATTCCCAGCTCAGCCATGAAACCCACTGGGTGACCTTGGGCAAGTCACACACTCTCAGCCTCAGGGGAAGGCAATGAGAAACTTCCTCTGAACAAAATCTTGCCAAGAAAACCCTGTGATGGGCTCGTCTTAGGATCGCCATGAGGTGGAGACAACTTGAAGGCACACAACAACAGCAACAACATTATATGGCTCTGAACCAGAGATGCGGAGACAGCATCCACCAGTTCTTTACATGCATGGTTTTATCCTGTGTTTTCCCTCCCAATGAAAGCTGGAAATGGGCCCAGCTGGTCATATCTCTGGGGCAGTGAGAAATGGCTGCAGAGAAACCCATGACAAAATTTGTCACAGCCATGGGATGCCTAGTTCTAGCAGCGTCCTGGCAGTGCCGCCTTATTCTATTATCGGAGGCATTCAAGGTCACTTCGGTCTTGCCCATCCTCCCGGCTTTATTCCCAGAGAAGGCCATTGTCACAACTGAACAGCTGCCCGGAGTGACAGAAGTGCAAACCCCACTAACTGATGCAACGGTTAGAAGCGTGGAAGCTAAATCGCCTTTTCTTCCCTCCAAAAGACAGTGCCTTCCCCACCAGCCTTTGCCCTATTCCCTGCATGCATTTCCAAATTCAGCTCTTCCTTATAAAAATCCCGGAGGAATCCATTCTTACTGAGAAGGGACATCTGGTAAGATGTGCAAAAACCCCATCCCATCAATGTCCGAAGGATTTTTTTTTTCCAGCTCAGCAAAAACATCGCTCTGGATTCTGCAAGACATTTATCTGAAACAGAGCTTGGAAAAAGTTAACGTTTTTAGACTGGGCAACTGAAATTCAAGACCAAGAAAAGTTGGTACATATTCTGTATATAACAGGCATGGTGCCAGCATGGCATAGTGGTTTGCATGTTGGACTACAACTCTGGAGACCAAGGTTCGATTCCTTGCTCAGTCATGAAACCCGCTGGGTGACCTTGGGCAAGTCACACGCTCTCAGCCTCAGAAGATGGCAATGGCAAACCTCCCCTGTACAATTCTTGCCACGAAAAAGCTGTGACAGGGTTGCCATCAGTCATAAACAACTCGAAGGCATACAACAACAACAGCCAATAAAGCATGTCTGCCTAAAGTTTACTTATTTCACATATTTTGGCCAGACAGAGAGCCGGACCTGAGCCATGGAGGGTAGCGATGCTGAAAATGTCAATTCCAATAGGTTTTGGAGGAGCTTGCGAATGTATTTAAACTTCAAAAATAATTATGGCAGCGAAAAAAAGAACATGGGGGCCACCTAAACTGACCCCAGGAAATTCATCACAAACACATATACAAGTATGCATACACACGAACACACCATCTTAGATTTCTTCTCACATTATCGAGGACTAGAAACTTGCCTTGTATTTTGTTGCTTGCTTTTTAAAGGTAAACTTGGGATTCTCCCAAAGTGGAACTTTTGTCTTTGATTACCATTGCCAATCTCAAAAGACACAGCCTCACATATCATACAAATTTTAAATCCTTTTTGGGATCAAAACAGATCCCTGGGATTATAGTAAATCACCAAGCCTTTATAAGCAGATCACTAAACATCCACTTCCCCAGCCAGTATCCTTGCACTAGCCTCGTACAATAGAGGATGAAAGCTGAATTCTCAGACACGGCAATCACTTTTCTCTCATGATAAAGCATCTTTGCAAGTACGTTGAGTCTCCCTTATCCAGAATATTGAAATATTCCAAAAACCACAACCTTTTTTCACAGGTGGCTGAGATTATGTTTTGCTTTCTAATGGTTCAGTGTATACACAAATTTTGGGCTAGTTTACAAGTAACTGCATTATGCAAATTGCTGAGGATTTTCACACATTCGCGTCAACATTTGTTGTGTCACTTTCCTGCACAAATTTGCATCTCTTCGCCCTCTCTCTGCAAAAAATGAGCAGCCACCCAAATCCGTGTTAAGCAGACGGCTGGCCATACATTTGATAATGCACATATTCATGAATTGTTGTTGCATTGTGCCTTCAAGCCATTTCCAACTTGTGGTGGCCCTAAGGCAAACCTATCACAGGGGAGCGTTCTTGGCAAGTTTCTTCAGAGAGGGTTTGCCATTGCCATCCTCTGAAACTAAGAACCTTTGCAGACTGCCAGAAATAGTGCAAATTGAGTCCACTTTAAGGGTTAGGGTTAGTGCTAGGGAATCATGGGAATTGGTTGTTGTTTTTTTCTGAGACATATAGCCTTCTCTGTCAGAGAGCTCTGGTGCCACAATAAAATACAGTTCCCATGATTCCCTAACCCTAACCCTAAAAGTGGACTCAATTTGCACTATTTCTGGCAGTCTGCAAAGGCCCTAAGAGAGTGTGATTTGCCCAAGGTTACCCAGTGGGATTCCATGGCCAAGCCAGGATTCAAACCCAGGTCTCTAGTGTCATAGTCCAACGCCCAAACCACTACGCCATGCTACTCGTGAATACTCCGGTAAAAACCACAAATACTTTTTCCCCCAGAGTTGGTGGAGTGTCCCCCCCATAAGCACACAAAGCCCAAACTCCTCCAAATCCTGTGTGGCGGGATCACATTCTATTCAGATAGAACGAGGAGCATTTTAGCCATGAGGACAAGCCCATTGTTCCATGTACAAAATTATTACAAATATTGTACAAAATGCATTCAAGCTATGTGTCGAAGATGCGCATGAAACAGAAATGAATTCTGTGTTTAGACTTGGGCCATATCTCCAAGAGATCTCATTAGCTACCTAATGCAAATACAGATATTCCAAAATCCAAAACATTTCTGCTCCCAAGCATTTCAGATAAGGGAGACTCAACCTGTATGATAGTTTAGGTACAAAGGTATCACCGCTAACCCAAACCAGTAAATTCACACAGAGACAAACAGTCCGGGAAAGGGCCAAACCATGGAGACTCTTGGTTTCCAGCTCAGTGGATTGGTGAATTTGAGACCTTCTCATACTACACAATTATAATGCTATGATTCCACTTTAACTGCCATGGTCCCATCCCATGAAATCCTGGGATTTGTAGTCTAGGGAAGGGCATTTGGGAGTCTCAGCCAGAGAAATCAAGTGCCTCACCAAACTATAAACTCCACGATGGAACGATAGCAGTTAAAGGGAAACTAA